CCTCTTCTCACAGCATACATAAAAAACTTTATGGTCTCATGCACACTAATGTCACAAATGGACCATTCAGGGTCCGCAAAGTCAATATTCCTCAACGGTTCTAAATGCATCCTAGAGTCTTCTATGTACATATGTACACTAGTGATGAGCTTTATGTTCGCGTGGAACATATGTTTAGCTCGAACATTGGCCGTTGGTGTGTTCGCTGAACACACGAGCAGTAAGGGCGTTTGGCAGACTGTGTCCTGACAGTGAATTGTGATTGGCCACAGGTCAGGTGAAATGCTTTGGGCAATCACAGCGCATGATGATGTCACAAGCGACTTGTGACATCATTACAGTATTTAAGAACTGTCATCGTGGTGCAGCTGTCAGACAACCGGGAGCCAGCATCGAGAGCAGAGCATTTCTTTTTTCATTTTTCGGGTCTGCAGTGGTGGCAGGCATTGTGATTGATGTTGGATCTACTTTGGGGGACATTTTTTAAGTTTTTGTTTTTATTAAAGGACTTGTCAAAGACTGTCCCCTGTCTTTTTTACACTACTTTCTTTTTTTGTGAATGGGCAGCGGTACCATATACCCATACTTATTCATATGGGGGGGCAGAATCTGGGCCCCCCCTTGTTCAAGGGGGCTTCAAGATTCCAATAAGCCCCCCGCTCACAGACCTCCACAACCACCGGCCTGCATGCTTGGATAATGGTCTGGTATGGATCTTGGGGGGGACACCCACACCATTTTTTTTTAAACTTTTGTGTGGGGAGTTCTCAAAATCCATACCGAACCCAAAGGGCTTGCTATGGATGGGAGGGGGGACTGCACACATTTAAAAAAAAAATGTAATTGTCAGGCAATGCCAACAATTCTTTTGACATTCAGCTGACAATGGAGAACCCCGCTGACAGATGAAACATTAAAGAATTTCTTCACTACTAAAATACCGCATGACTTAATAATATAACTCGTGTATTTTAGTAGCTGAGTGGAATCTTGCCACATACTCAGATGTGGTAAGATACCGCTCAGTAAATTGTCCCTGTTCGAAGTTCGCGGTCGAACTTTCTGTAGGTTCGAATGTTCGGCCCGAACCGTAAAGGGGGGTTTTCGGCCCATCACTAATGTACACTGGATTTTCAGAAGCATTTACAAGATTAACATTTAGATATGTTTACTAAATCAATAAAACATGTCCAAACCTGCTTTAACCACTTGCCTACAGGGCACTTTTACCCCCTTCGTGCCCAGGCTAATTTTCAGCTTTCAGCGCTGTCGCACTTTGAATGAGAATTGCACGGTCATGCAACACTGTGCCCATAGTAAATTTTTAGCATTTTTTTCACACAAATAGAGCTTTCTTTTGGTGGTATTTAATCACCATGGGGTGTTTTATTTTTTGCACTATAAACAAAAAAAAGAGCAAAAAAAAACTTTTTGTTTCTATTATAAAATTTTGCAAACAGGTAATTTTTCTCCTTCACTGATGTGCATTGATGAGGCTGCACTGATAGGCAGCACTGATGGGCACTGATAGGCAGCACTGATGAGCACGGATGAGGTGGCATGGATAGGCGGCACTAATGGGCACTGATAGGCTGCACTGATGAGATGGCACTGGTGGGCATTGATGAGGAAGCATTGATGATGCTGCACTGATTTGCAGCAATGATGGGCACTAATAGGCTGCACTGACTGTCAACACTGACTGGTGTCACTGATGAGCAGCACTGATGGGTGCAAGTTCTGGGAGGCACTGGTGGGTGGCACTGGTGGGGCACTACTTGGCAGCACTGCTGGGCACTGATGATCAGTGCAGATGTCCTCTGTGTCATTTGCCGTTATTGGCAGTACTTTCCTCATGCTGTCACAACATGAGGAAAATGCAGCCAATAACCGGCACTGTATTTACTTGGTAATCTGCTGTGTCATTGGACACAGCTGATCACGTGGTAAAAGGCTGCTGTGATTGGCCTTTTACGTCATCACGTGATCAGCTGTGTCCATAGGACACAGCAATCACGGACAACACAGGGTGCGTGCCACTGGGGGCGCTCGGGAGGGTGCATTCTGGGAGAGCATTATATGATGGCCTCCCAGAACTGGACAACCATGATGTAGCCGTCATTCAGCTATGGTGCGGTTGGCAAGTGGCTAAGCAGGAACACCAGTTCAGTGACTCATGAGCTCCAGTCCATTCACCTGGGTAGGTCTGACATCGCGCCCTGATCACAAGGCAACCCAGCCATTGTCTCTTTCTGTCAATCTGTATCTGTCTGCCCCTACCAGGTATGAGCAGACAGATACCCTGACAAGTCTGCAGGAGTCCTGCATGGCAATGCTTTACAGGTTAAAAGTAAAAAAAAAAATGCACATTTTTTTTTTACCTGCAAAAAAAATGTGCATTTATTTACTTACTAAATGGTGAACAGACCCTTTAAGCGAAATTCCTGTATTACTCGATAAGGCCACTAGGTGGCAGCACAGCATAGTCTCTATACTGTACTATACACTGCAATGAAATAAGAACAGTATATAAAGAGCAATGACAAAGGCATTAGCAGAAACAGTAACATACAAACTGTTACTTGTGCTTTCTTTTGGGCTACATCTGTCTCACAAGGAGGTGGACTGTCTCTGATAGTCCAGGTGGGTGGCTGGATAGATCCCCAGGCCTGCAACACAGGCAAGTGGAATGAAGAGTCTCTGGTCTGGACGCACAAATGAATGACTTTAGGCCCAGGACCACCCCACTTTCTGCTCACCCCTCAGTTGACAGTATACACAATAACTCTCTACAATGATGGTGTCTCCTCCTGAAGCTGCATGCTATTGTACTCCAAACACAAGCTGGTTATAATGATGGAGGACCAGACATGAGGAGACAAGTCTCATGTATACAGGTGAAACTCGAAAAATTAGAATACCATGCAAAAGTTCATTTATTTCAATAATGCAACTTAAAAGGTGAAACTAATATATGAGATAGACTCATTACATGCAAAGCAAGATAGTTTCAAGCCGTGATTTGTCATAATTGTGATGAATATGGCTTACAGCTCATGAAAACCCCAAATCCACATTCTCACAAAATTAGAATATTACATGCAATCAATAAAACAAGGATTGTACATAGAACAATATCGGACCTCTGAAAAGTATAAGCATGCATATGTACTCAGTACTTGGTTTGGGCCCCTTTTGCAGCAATTACTGCTTCAATGCAGCGTGGCATGGAAGCTATCAGCCTGAGGTGTTATGGAAGACCAGGATGCTTCAATAGCGGCCTTCAGCTCTTCTGCATTGTTCGGTCTTATGTCTCTCATCTTTCTCTTGGCAATGCCCCATAGATTTTCTATGGGGTTCAGGTCAGGCGAGTTTGCTGGCCAATCAAGCACAGTAAACCCACAGTCATTGAACCAGGTTTTGTGCTTTTGGCAGTGTGGGCAGGTGCCAAGTCCTGCTGGAAAATGAAGTCAGCATCCCCATAAAGCTCGTCTGCGGAAGAAAGCATGAAATGCTCCAAAATCTCCTGGTAGACGGCTGCGTTGACCCTGGACTTAATGAAGCACAGTGGACCAACATCAGCAGATGACATGGCTCCCCAAATCAACACAGACTGTGGAAACTTCACACTGGACTTCAAGCATCTTGCAGTGTGTGCCTCTCCATTCTTCCTCCATACTCTGGGTCCTTGGTTTCCAAATGACATGCAAAAGTTGCTCTCATCAGAAAAGAGGACTTTGAACCACTGAGCAACAGACCAGTTCTGTTTTTCTTTAGCCCAGGTAAGACGCTTCTGACGTTGTTTGTTGTTCAGGAGTGGCCTGACAAGAGGAATACGACATTTGAAGCCCATGTCCAGGATCCGTCTGTGTGTGGTGGCTCTTGATGCACTGACTTCCGCCTCAGTCCACTCCTTGTGAAAGTCCCCAACACTTTTGAATGACCTTTTTCTGACAATCCTCTCCAGGCTGCGGTCATCCATGCTGCTTGTGCACCTTTTTCTTCCACACTTTTCCCTTCCACATAACTTTCTATTAATGTGCTTTGATACAGCACTTTGGGAACATCCAACTTCTTTTGCAATTACCTTTTGAGGCTTTCCCTCCTTATGGAGAGTGTCAATGATGGTTTTTCTGCACAACTGTCAGTCTTTCCCATGATTGTGATTCCTACTGAACCAGACTGAAAGACCATTTAAAGGCTCAGGAACCCTTTGCAGGTGTTAGGGCTTAATTAGCTGATTAGAGTGGGACACTTTGAGCCTAGAATATTGCACCTTTTCACAATATTCTAATTTTCTGAGATTGTGGATTTGGGGTTTTCATGAGCTGTAAGCCATAATCATCACAATTATGACAAATCATGACTTGAACTTTCTTGCTTTGCATGTAATGAGTCTATTTTTCATATATTAGTTTCACCTTTTAAGTTGCATTACTGAAATAAATGAACTTTTGCACGATATTCTAATTTTTCAAGTTTCACCTGTATTTACATATGTCTCATCAGGTGCTGCTTCTCGTGACTCAAAAGGGTGATAATCAGGATAATGTGATGTGTCTAGGTACCCAGGGGATTTTGGTAAAAGGAGTAAAAAGAGCCTGTTGCCACGTCTGAACAAGATGGTTAACCACTTGCCTACCAGGCGCTTATACCCCCTTCCTGCCCAGGCCAATTTTCAGCTTTCAGTGCTGTCACACTTTGAATGACAATTACGCGGTCATGCAACATTGTACTCATATGAAATATTTATCATTTTTTTTGAGACAGATAGAGCTTTCTTTTGGGGGATATGTAATCACCTCTGGGATTTTTATTTTTTGCTAAACAAACCAAAAACAACTGAAAATTTTGAAAAACAAAACTTTTTTCTTAGTTTCTGTTATAAAATTTTTTAAATAAGTGATTTTTCTCCTTCACTGATGTGTGCTAATGAGGCTGCAGTGATGGGCACTGAAAGGCGGCACTGATGGGCACTGATAGGCAGCACTGGTAGGTGGCACTGATGGTCATTGAGAGGTATCACTGATGGACACTGAAAGGCAGCACTCATATATGGCACTGATAGGCGGCACTGATGGGCACTGATAGGCCGCACTGATGCGCACTGATAGGCCTCACTGATGCGCACTGATTGGCAGCACTGATAGGCGACACTGACTGGCACTGAGAGGTGGCATTGAAAGGCAGCTCAGATGGGCACTGATATGTGGCATTGATGTGGCACTGGCTGGTGGCATTGATGGACACTGACAGGTGGCACTGATGGGGCTACACTGATCATCAGTGTCCTGATGATCAGTGTAGATGTCCCCTCGGAGGAATGCCGATTACCGGCTCTCCTCTCCTCATGAGCTGTCAGCGTGACAGCTCGCGAGGAGAGGAATGCTGATAACCGGCATTTCCTTATTTACATGTGATCAGCTGTGATGGACACAGCTGATCATATGACCGAGCCGACGTTATCGGCTCTTTCCAATGATCGGTGATCCGCTGTGTCCGAGGGACACAGTGCACCAGCGCAATGCACCCCCTGGAGGTGCGCACGTGCAGTTAGAGTGGGAGGACATCATATAATGTCCTCCCAGAATGAGAGAACTGCCTTGCGCCCGTTATTTCCTTATATGGCAGGCGGGAGGAGGTTAAAGTGTGTGTTACCCCAACATTTCATATTTCCAATATGTATATGATGTACTTCTGTTAAAAAAAGTATCCTGTTCTCTTTGTATTCCTTTGTGTGAAGTACCTGGTGATCTTGCCAGTTCACCTGCTTCCCTGTTTCAAATGACCACACTAGACATGAAAGCACATCAATCCCAGTGTGGTCAGTTTTCTGACTGTGCTGAGGAGCAGAGCCTGCTTGTCTTCCAATGGTCAATTTTGTGCTGACACCCCCCCTCCCCACTCCCTTCAACTGGGAAGATCAGTGTACTGCTTATTTTCTGCCTCCTGCTGACACTCCCCCCCCTGCAGTCTCTACCCCCACCTCCCTAAGCATCTTATGCAGCTGAGAAAGGAGTATATGTGATCACTGTGTTTTGGTCAGGGCAAGATTTAGACCTTTGGTGGCCCGGGGCACTTCAGGTTCAGGAAAGCCCTTCACACACAGAGTTGGTTTACATTCTCAATGACAGTCACACATTTTTAAAACACGACACAATGTCATTCTGAGGTTATGCGTACACACTGTGACAGTGTGGTGATCTGTCACAAAGTAAAATGGATATTTCGCCCAGGATTCTCAACAAGACAGGTTGAGGGGCTCCAAAGTGCTTGTTTAAGTTGGAGGAAATGTTTTCAGTTTCATGGTTCTTTGCAAAACTCTGGGACCTGGAGCCTGGAGATTTCACAGTGATCTGGATGGGAGGAAATCTCCAATCCTGGGACCAAGTTTTGGGAATGGCCAGGAGACTGATTGTGCAGGTGTGTGTGTGTGAGTCCCTTCTAGAGTTAGGACCAGGGTTCTGGGTTCCACCCTCCCGAGGAGTCCATGTGGGTGCAAGGGAGCAGCCACAAGTGTGCATGGTCCCACATGGAAAAAATATTCCAAATATTCCAAAATATTCTTCCCAAATTTATTGAGATATATTTGAAATACTATAATTTTGAGCATATTCAATATATATACATCCTACGCTCCCTCACCCACTTCTTCAATCTCTCCCTCTCTACTGGCGTATTCCCCTCCCCCCTAAAGCATGCGCACATCACCCCCATACTCAAAAAACCCTCCCTGGACCCCACCGACCTGAACAACCTTAGACCCATCTCCCTGCTGCCGTTCACATCCAAGCTCCTTGAGGGCTTAGTCTACAATCGCCTAAGCTCCCACCTCACTGACAACAACCTCCTCGATCCTCTACAGTCTGGCTTCCATCCCCTACACTCCACCGAAACCGCCCTACTCAAAATCACTAACGACCTGCTAACCGCCAAAGCTAATGGCCACTACTCAGTCCTCCTACTCCTCGACCACTCTGCAGCCTTCGACACAGTTGACCACCCCCTCCCTTAATAAACTACACTCCCTTGGCATCCTACTTTCTAGCTCCCTGGTCTCCTCCTCCCACGCCCGACTGCAGGACGTCTCCAGGACTTCCCCCATCCTCTGGAACTCTCTACCCCAATCCATCAGACTGTCACCTACCCTCCTCACCTTCAGGCGCACCCTGAAAACCCATGTAGTGGATTGTGATAGACAGTCCACGTTCTATTAGATGATCAGTAAAATGACAATTTTATAGTCTTGCTACTTTCTGCTTCTTGCACTTTAAATTCCTTACTCTCTTAAGTAAACAATCAGATATAGGTTGACAGAACAATGATGATAATTAAGATGGCGCCTTCATCCGGAGTCTCACCCTAGGTGACTCATTAGGAGAAAAGTATCTTTTAATGTAAACAACCCCCATAAAAGGGAATGAGTCTTTTTGGGGACAATGATTGGCAGATATCAACACGGATGGAAGAACACGCAGAAACCCAGTGGACTTTTCACCCAATCAATGTATATGCTTTGCCTGCATCATAAGCCCTATAAATGATACTGTTAGTTCCTCAATAAAACAGAATTTTAGGAAGTTGGCAAACTGCAACAGTGTCAGTGTCTTGCTTCCACGTGCACGTAATTCTATATTAATTTGGCTCACTGGTAGATCACGGTAAATGGTCTGTAGGTGACCTAGTCCAAAACATTTTGGCGCCCAACGTGGGGCCCGGGTTCTGAACACCGGACCAGCCGACCGAGAGTGGACGAGGGGGACCGTGGAGCATTCCAGACAACCGGAGACTGATCACCTCCAAAAGCGGTAAGTGAATTTTTATGTTTAATAATTCCTTACCTGCATAGTCTGGAATTGCCCAGCGGGACTACTAACCCGTCTGGCTGTCCGTTGGTCAGCAAAGGACAGGTATACTTGCCCGGGGCTCCTTTGAACCCACCTGTCTGTGTAACGTCATCTACCAGTGTGATATGTCTTGTCTTTTGTGTTGTCTGTGTGTACCAGTGTGATTGGTTGTTCCTGATGCGCCTGTGTGGGAGTGGAGAATTACAGCTCAATATTCCTCATCAGGAGTGGACAGGATACACCCTGATTGGAGAGAGGGTGCCGGGAACTCGCAGTCGCAGTAATGGCGACACGAGGGAACTCGCAGTCGCAGTAATGGCGACACGAGGGGAACTGAACTCGCAGTCGCAGTAATGGTGACACGAGGGGACTTGGAGTCGCAGTAATGGCGACACGAGGGATAAAACCACAGCCAGGGATTGGTGTTGTGGGGAAGAATTAAAAATTTTACTCCCAACAGGCGTGTCTGAAATACTATGTCATGGTCACACTGTGCATGTGGATTAATGTTTGGTGTACATGAAGGAGAGTGGGGATTGGTGAAAGTAGTACAAGTAGTAGTACAGTGACGCTCGTATCGTAGCTCCTGATATATTGGTTTACAGGGTTAATGTACATTACTCAGTGGAGCTGAGCTGGAAAAATAGGGAAGTCACTGGGAGGAGAAGCAGGGGGGGAAGGTGCTGCGTGAGCTCTGTTTAAATCGTCTCACGACACAGCACTCTCAGAACAAGAGAGAGTGACGGCTTTGGTGTTCACCTTAGGGTCCCCGGGAGGGAAGTAAAACAAAATGGGCCAGAAACTTACGAAGCCAGAGAACAGTTCATTTGCTTGTGAACTAGTGGAGGAAACTGTGTAAAGAGAAGAAAGGGCTTCTAATGAAGCACAACATGTTAAAGACAGCGGAAACTTGTTTTAATGTGGCCCGCACCCTACATCAGGAGGGGTGGTTGGAGCGAAAGCTGGATCAGAGGGAGTTGTATATGTATATTACAGGAAAGGAGACGCGCCCGGCAAGGCGCCACCCCCCCTATGATGATGGCCCGTCCTGGAGGTGCGAGGCATGTGGTAATACAGGAAGGCTCCACCCCGAGAGTTCAGATTTTTGCATACCGTGTAGTCAAAACCTCCGGATATGTAAGGGGTGTTCAGCTAAAATACCGGGGTGGGAGGAGATTTGCAAGGGATGTGACTGGAAGCTGACTATGCAACATCCGATGCTTCCAACTCAGTCACCTCCATTTCCGCCTCCGGCCTCTTCCCTTCCGCTTCCGCCCTCATCAAAGATGGCAGCGCCCAGTGAGGCCACTGGAAGCCATGTTTACTCTGGGCTTAGTACACTGATACACCATACACACCTCATGCCAGCTGCCCCCTTTTGCCCAGTGCTTACTGTCTCTGGCTCCCAGCCACCTTCGGCGCTCCATACACCCCTAATGCCTGTAGTAACCTCAGACCAGTTTAAACCAAAAATGCCCAGGACATGGAAGGGCTGGAAGTTTACCGACCCTGACTCCCTGACCCCCCAAATAGATAGAAGGGCCCCAGAAGTGACAGCAGCTACGGCGGATCGCCGGGTCACACAGGCAGATGATGCCAGCTCCATCTGCCCCCAACAGGACTACCCACCCCCGGAAGGCCGCAGTCCAGATCCGGAAACCAAGCCGCTCATCCAACCACTCGCCCAGATTACGTATCCCCCCCCCCCCCCAAAGATTACCTATGTATGAAGCTGATATGGGGATATGCACGATGCCCCAGTCCCCCACTCCCCTACTTACCATCATATCTGATGCCCCTATCATGTATGTGCCCTTCACCCCATCCCAAGCATCTTTGCTGGTCACAATTCTCCCAGACCCGGAAAAACACCCGATGCCTTTCTATCGACGCATAGCATGGACGCATGGAAAAAGACCTCACCAGAGTAAGGCCAAATGAGGACGCCACTTATGCCTCGGGAATTTCCTTCTGTGACCAGTTGCAGCAGTGGGCCAGAGAGAGACTGGCGGACCAGGCCACCATGTTGCAGGACATTACCCAAGACAAGACTGAGTCGGTGGAAAAGTTCCATACCAGACTACCACAGGTGTTTACAGACGTGGGATTCAGTGTCCATAACAAGGTACATACTCAAATGCTGGTCTCTGCATTTGTATCAGGACTAAAGGAGTCTGTTCGCAAGGGCTTGATCACTGCCTGTCCAGAGTACCGTACCCTCCAACTGGATATACTGCTATTAGTGGCAAAGGGTCTGGAGACCGCCCAGGTGGCCCGGAAACCGACACCACTCATGTTGTCAGCTAGAGAGCAGGTCCCCAGAAGAAACCCACTTGTTTGTTTCAGCTGTGAAAAACCAGGACATTTCAGAAGGGAATGCAGAGCTCCCAGACGTCAACAGCGACCCAATGACTACAACTCAGGGTGGGAAGAGTCTGCAATGCCACCACCTGGCTGAACAGGGCTGCAAAGTTTCCAAGGACAAGTTACAGTGGTGCCAAATTTCTGTCATCTTTTTTGGACATTGCATTTCTCAAGCCACTCGTCATCTCACGCCGGATAGAGTACGGGCTATCCAGAATGTCCCAATACCTTAGGGACCAAAAGCCCTGCATGCTTTCCTAGGGTTGGTTTCCTTTTGTCGTTCCTGGATCCCAGAAGCCTCCATCT